ATTGTTGTATTGTTATCACTGTCCTTTGTGTTAATCTTCCAGGTCTCTGTCTCACATTTCTGTCATTGGCAAGCCACCAACAATCCAAGATACTGAAGGATTGTTCCATTTATCATGTTTGTTTTCCCTATTCATTATGTTGCAAAACCACTTGCACTGGCTTCTACTAGTGTTTTTATGTTTCTAAAATTCTCTCTTAATGAAAGATACAACTGAGATTTTCCCAAATATTTATCGCAGAAAGTATCATTCCTATTAGTGATTTCTTTGGGTCAGCTGGGTGTCTGCCACATACGAAAATGCATCACCATGATTAAGAGAATCCAAATCAAACTGAGAGTTCCATGCATCCCACCTATACATGGAAATTCCCGAGATATTTATTGGAGTGGAATGCAGACTCTCTCCTCTCTCCTAATTCCAGAGCGTATTAGTCACAGATAGGCAAGAGCCAAGGCTTCTACCCCAGAGTGTGCGTTGAGGTACTACAGGAGAATAACCAGCTGAAAACCACGTGGCTTGCCATTGAAAGCCCTTTCTGGCAAGCTTTCCTGATGCTCAACCAGCTAGGAGCACGCTACCCAATGGACTCTGGCTTGCAGAGTTATTGGGACATGAGAAGGAAGAGTCCTTTCCTCCAGTGACTGGTCTGCCCGTCCATGTCCTGCCGATGATCTAGCCAAGCAAAGTTGTCATCAGCTGTGCCCTAGACTAAAGCAGTGCAGGTTTTCCTGGTTTAGGAACTGGATTACTGAGAATGCTCAGAGGGTGGGCTCGATTCTGCCATTATGTTGCCAAACATGTCACCTTGAAGCCAATTCAGCTCCAAGGAGATCCCACTTACCTTTCCCCATGCAACCAACGGAGACCAACAAATATAGCACAAACCAGAATTTGAACTAGAATGGTCCAGGCCATAAGCTGCAGTTGCATCCACCACATCAGGGCTCTCCACACGTCTAATGCTTTATGTAATTGATGCTAAACTACTATTCTATGGGGATTACAGTGTCTATATAAGCAACAGAGATGGAATCTGTAAAGTATAATACAAATGTACAAAAATGGATAGAAAAAGAGAAAATGTGTTTTTCTTACACAATACCAAAATAATTACCTAGAAGCGACCGATTGTCCTCACTCAATGTAATGTAACAAAGACTATTGATCAATAAATAAGAATTTGTTCATAATGTGTGTTTAAATGAACCTGCCATTCAAATAGTTTGATCTATAATGCTGCCTATTTTGTAATTGTAATACAGAACAAGCATAATAACTATACAAAAAAGATGGGAAAGCTAAGGATGTTAGGAGTAATATCCCAACTTGTGGATTGTTACACAGCGTTAATGGTTTTCTGGTGTACATTGGAGTCACTGCAATTTCTAGTATGCAGACCTTAATTTATCACATGTACATTAAAATAACAAACTGAGTTTAGTTGGAATTATTTCAATCTCACCTCCTATCTCCCCATCAAAACAAATGGAACTGCATCTATTGGGGATTGTAAAGAACATTAAAAAAAGCCTGACACTAAACTTCAAAAGATGAGTGTTGTTTTACTGGAGAAGATTTCTTCATTTTGGTGAAAGGGACTCTTTTTTAAAAAAAAGTAAAATAATTTCTGTCCATTATGGAGAGAAATATGATTGGTTGTTCTCAGGTATATCTGCCAATGGGAAACAAAAAATGTTGCAAATGTAGACTGTGGGGGAAAAAGGCTTCTCAGTAGATACAGTATTTGTACATGTAAATCACTCTGAGGGATGTAGACCATTTTTACTGTATTGCAATAATTCTCCTGATAGCAAATCCACTGTTAACCCAAAATAACTCATGCCAGTGATCATTTAATCAAATGTCAAAATCAGACACCAAATAGGCAGTTGAAGAGAATATATTCTAAAGCAAAAATAAGCTTTAATTTTTAATTTTAAATTTTAAAGCTCCGACCTCCTAACCTCCTACCACCCTGTTCACTCCCTCCGCTCAGCGGCCTTCGGTCTGCTTCACGTCCCCCGCCTTACTCGCCCCACTATCGGCGGGCGGGCCTTCCACCACTCTGCACCCACCCTCTGGAACTCCATCCCGCAGTCCCTCCGTCTTGCCCCCTCCCTCGCCACCTTCAAGACCCACCTCAAGACCCGCCTCTTGGACTGTGCTTTCGACCTCCCTGCTTCCCCCCTGCCCTCCCCCAGCTCAGGTTCATAACTCTGTCTGTCCAGCGCCTTGGGACGTCCTCCCTACGTGAAAGGCGCTATACAAATGTAATTTTGTTGTTGTTGTTGTAAATAGTTGGTCTTATGAGCAATGACTCACAGTCATTTTACAGTCTTAATCAGTAGAGAGTATTGTTTGAATGTGCAAGAATAAGAAGTATACAAAACCAGTGCGTTGTATGGTTGCATAAGGAAATGGTCCCCAAGGCACACTGCTCCTACCGAGGCTGTCCTGTTTTATTTGACTGAGTCTTCATTAATGTGTTAGCCTAGCAATAGCCTAGACTTTTATTGATAATGTCATGGAGTCATTATGTTTCTTATGGAGCTGTCTCTTTGGAAACATTTACCCAAGAGCCTTTATATTCTGGTTAAAAAATGACCAGACGGCTCTTGAATGACGTGCATATATTGATCTATAATTGCACATAGCTAAACAAGCACCCACCTTTATTACAGATGTATTGACTTTAAGTTATTAATTAATTCAACTTTGCAGCTTGGTTGGAAAAAGTGTGTTAGATATTGTTGGATTTTAAAATGAATGATTGAAACTTCAATTGAGTAATTTATGAAACTATCTACGGTGCCAAGTGAACCTACATTCCTTCTATTCTGAGCAACCATTATTGTTGAGGTTATTGAGGCTCTTGTTACAATGAGATGAACAGCATTACTATGGTATGTAACATTTGGACAGGATTTTAGGGCAAAAATGTCTTGGTATTCTGCCCTGCTACTATTAAAAGCAACAGTAAGTTGGTGAAACCAATGTATTTCACATTTAAGTTGGCTGAAAAATCCTGGATTGTTTCTTTGGTTACATTTCCATTGGCTCTAAACTTGATTCCCGTGTGTTAATGTCACACCAAACATGATTAAACATGAAGATCACTAAAGAGAAACTCAGGTTAGTATTTACAAACTTGCAGCGATTCACAAATGGACTCTGAAGTGTCCTAGATCTTGCCGCATCTGTGATCTACTTAAACCCTCCCAACCTGCCTGATCCCTCCATTCTGCAGGCACTGGCCTGCTTCACGTTTCCTGGTCTGTCCGCCCGACCATCAGTTGTCAGGCTTTCAGCCTATCTACCCCACACTCAGGTACTCCACCCCAGAGTCTCTTCACCTTGCCCCTTCAAGGTTCATCTCAAGACCTTCATCTTTGACTCAATCCTTTGATTGCCTCTGTCCCCCACACCTCTCAAATCCAACCTCCAGCTTGGGCGCAAAGCCTTGCTGCCTGTTTTGAGTTCTAACCCCAGCAATAATGTGGACAATTCCAGATTTGCATTGAATAACCTCTTAGGATTTGTTTAGTTTCTGCCAATGTATGATCAGAGAGGGTAACAATTCATCACAGATGACTTCTTCACCTTTGATTATCAATAAAGCAAAGTTAGGATTGCTTAAGATCAAAAATGTTTGGGTGATAAAGATTTTTTTTTTTTGCCCAACAATGTATTGGAAAACACAGAATCAGTACTATAAATGTTTTTCCTTTGGTTAAATGGTTTTCCCATCAAACTATATTTTACTCACAGGGAGGTATTATAGATCTTGTTGAGTATTGATTAGATCTATCTGACCCAAAGCAGACATTTCAACATTTTCTGCTACTTTTATCCAAGGGTGATTGTTAAACAACTAAGAAATTCACTGAATGTTTCATGTGAACATACATGCCTGGCAGGCTCTGTAAAGCTTAATCATTTCTACACTGTGTAGCATACAAAAAGAGATGATGCAAAAAAGATGTGAAAAGATCTTTGGTCCATACAGGGTAAAGTGAGAAGTCACTCCTATTTAGTATGTCGTGGATGTCATATGTCTCAATGAGCGTGCACCTTATTTTGTAACTTTGCATGGAATGAGATTTCATAATGCAAAATGCATGAAGATCAGGTTTTGTCAGATATTAAGTTGCAAAGGAACATGATAAGTAATGTGCATATGTTAAAGGACAACATTACTCTCTGGAAAATACTGTCAATCAAATGACTCCTGAAAATAATGTTTGAGATATCTCCTTGTGTTATTTCCTTTTTTATTACTTAGGAAGTCATTCTTCTGAACCCACCAAGTCAGAATCCAGGTGGTCTGCCATTAAGCTAAACAAAATATATTGTCAATTCACTTTACAGTAAATTCTGTGAAGCGCTTTGAGACATTTCGAAGACGTGACAAGGCACTATATTAAATGCAAGGATTATTATTATTAAACAAAGATTAACATCGCTCAGTTCTGGACACCAGTTGATCTATGGTTTTAATAGATTTTTTTTATTTCTATTCCATCTTTTAATTGTAATACAGTATAAGCAAAACACAACCCTGGATTTTAATTCTGTATTTGCAAACAAAAAGCATTTGTGAAACAGCTTTGCTTTTTTAGAATACTTACTGTCTAACCTAAACCTTGCTTTGGTTAGCATCTATTAAAGGGCTATTTGTCATTCACCATTGTGGGACATTGATGGATATACCATTTGTCTTGGCTACAATTAACGACCACAAATTTCTTTTTGTAAATTGTAAAATCTGTTTTTTAAATAATAGTAGTTGCAAACAAATTTGATTTTGTTAAAATTAGAATGAAATAGTTTTGAGTATCAAAAATGAGACAACGTACATGACTTGTGGTTTGACAAATCTTAAAATTATCTTGATATTTGATAATAGCGTATATAGAAATTATTAATTGATTTATTAATTCATGTTTTAATTATTCAGATTTTTGACCCAGATTTGAAAGATTGTCATCTTTCAACAGATTTCAGAAGAAGCGATACGACGTATAATGGCTGGTGAAGAATTTGATGATGAAGAAAACACTTCAGGAAATAGTAGTGGTGAATGTGATCCTAGTTCACCAAATAACGGCAGAATAGACAGAAACATTTCACCAGATTCCCCAAGGTCTTCAGGCTCTTCAAGGTAAGCACGCAGACTTTACAGGAAATATGGGCTGTACCAATATCACTTAACAGGCTGACATCAATAGCATTGGTTAAAAAAAATGTTTCAGTGGACTCAATACAATACAATTTTAACATGTGATGTGATCTGCTCTAAATTACATTTTGGACTTTTGTACATCTGTTACCTAATTCATAGTAAGTTATGGAGGGCTTGTGTTGTGAGCCTTTTGTTTATATTAAGTTGTGTCTTCTGCGATTGATAAGTTTTATTGGTCTACTTAAATGATATCAAGTGAGTGAACAAAGTAAGGTCAAGAGAAAATTCTTATTGTTTGTTGCCAGAAGGAAAAAACTTAAAGGGAAATGTTTTGAACCAGGCCTGCATAGCTTAGCTTATTCGCTTCATTGCGTTTTAATTAAATTGCCTTTTCAAGTGTACTGGGCCAGACATCCAGAAAATCCATTGCAGTGGAGATGAGAGTTCTTCTCTTGCGCAGGATCTTAATGCAGTTTATATTTATATAAAATGAATAGGTTGAAAACCATCCTTGATGAAGATCATGTCACAATCATTCCAGTCATCGAAAAATCACAACACTTGGAGAGCTATCTGATGCTTCACTCCATTAGTGTGATTTTATATTCGCCTTTTTCAGTAGTTGGGATAGCTGGCTATCTGTACAAATATCCAGATCTCAGTCCACTCATGTCTCTGGAGATTATATGTAAATAATATTCCAAGATACGGCCTGGGGTCTTGATTGAGCACCTCCTCCCAATACACAGTGATATTATTGAAGTGGTTTCAGTGGTTCATGAGTGTATTGTCCTTGGTCTCTTATTAATCCTAATGATTTTTAGTTTATTCAGTATAGCTTTTGCAGGTCCCTTGCCAGATATCTTGAAAATCCCATTTAAATTTAGCCCAACACTTTGTGAACACTTTAATAGATTTGTAAGAAGCTTTGCTTATAACTGTTGCCTGAAGGACTTTATTTACAGAACAGTCATTGGATACATTTTGCACTTTGTAAACATTTTTTTTTGTGTATCATAACTAATAATTATTTGCATTATAAAATGAAGTACTTAAAGTTTTATAACTTTTTCTTCCTAGATCACTAGATTCGAATGTACTCAAGGATTCCTGCCTTATCTCTGAGGTCTCCACTGTAATTCCCTATCTCCCTGCCTGCTTTGCCTACTCTTCACACAGTCTATCATGGACTGAAACATACAGCTTCAATGTACACTCGCAATCTCTGTTACAGCAGCTATTGCAAGCAGAGAAGACAAAGCAGCTCAAATTTCCAGTTTTAATACAAAACAGGTACTAATATTTCATCTATATAAAAAAAATGTCAGTCTCTCGCATTCTCGCTGTTAAATCAGAAGGTTGTGGGTTCAAGCCCAATGTTGGTGGCTGTTGCAGTGCTGAGCGTGTGCAATATTGCCAGAGGTACCGTCCTTCAGATGAGACATTAAACCAAGGTCCCATCTGCCTTTTCAGCTGGACGTTAAAGGTCCCATGGCACAACTCAAAAAGAGAAGTTAGTTTCTCCTGGGGTCCTAGCCAAAAATTCCCCCAAATAAAATTGGTCATTTGTTTCACAGCTGTTTGTGGGACATTGCTGTGTGGAATTGGAATGCTGCATTCAGCTACAAAATACACAATTACTCCACAGTAAATCCTGTGAAACGTTTTGAGTTGTCGTCCCCGACATGAAAGGCTCCATACCGAATGCAAGGATAATTATTATTATTAAATAATCCCTTTACTCACTGGTCGGCTATATGCTTCCCGCCCTATCCACCCCACCATCAGTGGACAGCATTCTACCACCGCTCTCTGGAACTCCATTCTAGAATCCATCCAAGTCATTCTTATCCAAGGCCCGTACTTTGGTAAAAGTGGATTTCTTTGACTACACTTTCAGTTATCTTTTCCTTTGGTTTCCACCCTGTGTTAGGGTGCCTAGCCAGCAGAGTGAAGCCCTTTGAGATGTCCTCCTGATGTGAAAGGCGCTATATTAATATAAATTGGAATGTGTCTAAAGTGCAGGTAGAGAGAACAAATATGGAGAGGCAATTGTACATGTGTTTGTACAAGGTCAAATGCTACAATTGAGTATTCATCTTAAAGCGAGTGTTTTCTAGCTACTGTTAGAAATGGTTTGAGTTACCTTATGCATTTGTCTGTGCTTTTTGCTTTAGGTGTGCAATGACACCATCGAAGCTCCTTGCCTTACTCTGCCAGCTTGCTGATGAACTGCTTTTTCAGCAGATAATGTGGATTAAACAGCTTCCGTTCTTCAAGGAGATGTTGATCAGACATTATACTTGCTTGCTGGGAGCCTCATGGCATGAATTGGTACTCCTCCAAGCTTTAATGTCCAGAGATTGTCAAGTACTTGGTGATCTCTGTGGAATCATAGAGAAGTACCATGTTTCAAAGGATACAATTCACAGGTAAGTTTTTTTGGGTATCGCTAATTCCCTTGTGAATTCTCGACAATAAATCAGTAGAAATGCTAAACGTTTTCTCTGTGTCTGCTATCTGAATTTCAAAGAGCCAGATTCCTCTACCAGATTCTCCCTCCTTCTGAAAATTTCAAAACTTATAGACGTGATATAAAAGCACGTATTACAAACTCAAGATCAGTGTCACTTTTCAGAAAGTGTGCTGAGGTACAGAATTGACGCGGGGCGTCAATATCCAAGCATTGTAACGTGGGAATACAAGTATATTCCTTTTAGTTCCTGAAATGGCGGAAGATTAGCTGTTTCTTCTGACTGGGGTTTGGTCAGCTGGGTGTCTGACACAGGCATCACCATGCTTAAGAGTATCCAAACCAACTGAGAGTTCCATACATCCCACCAGAAATGTAAATACACCCTCCTTACCTAATTTCAGGGTTGGCAAGAGCCAAGGTTTGGTAACCCCAGAGTGTGTGCTGGGGTACTGCTAGAGCTTAACCACCTAAAACCGTATAGCTTGCTATTTGAAAGTACTGTCTGGTAACCATTCCCACTGCTTGCCCATGTAGAACCATCCTACCCATGAGGACTTTGGATTGCTGGATTAACGAAAGCTGAGTGGGAAGAAACGCTGACTGTGGCTCGCTTACTTGGAACTGTCTGTCTCGATACCCACAATTTGCAAACCAGACCTAATGTTGGCCTATAGTCTGAATGTAAACTAATAGATTTGCTTTGTTACCCCATCCCCTGGCCCTCCCTCTCCCTCTCCCTCCCCTGTGCCTTTTATCATTCTGTTTAAAGATGAAGAGAGCACTCTGTACCATTAGCTGTTCTGCCAGGAAACAACACTATTTTAAAAATACCCTTATGGCCAAGCAATGATTTGTCCTTTTGTTGGGAATGGTGAGATTGATTACAATGGGCAGGCAGCCTCAGCTGGCATAAAGCTAAAGTTGCACACAGCATTATGTATACATATACGGAGCCCACATTCTCCCTGCTGCTCAGCCACTCTCCAACTGCACCTTGACCTCTTTGCTCTCATAACGTCCACTCATCTTTAAATCCAAGCCTGTTCAATTTGTAAAGTTTCTGACGTTGTGTTTCTTACATTATTGCCGAACTCTGTGAACTCCTCGATCTACTGGTGAAATCTAGCAATTCTGCTGAAACTGCAAACACTGATCAAGGGTCAATACTGTAATTTTTAAGCATTTCCAGAAAATACAAAATATTCTACAGGGGAAAAAATATGGTTTCATTTAAGTTGGCACTGCTTGCTATTTTTCAACCAAGTTTCAAATGTTAAATGTATATATTGTGTATTCTTCAAATACCAAAGGCCTGAAATTCCATTTAGTTTTAGCCAGTAAGACCTTTTCATCATACAATTTAAGTTTGCACATTATTATGGAAAATTCTTTAATTCAGTCTTAATTTGGAAGCAGATTCCTTTTAAGAACTGTAGAATGCTGGCTATCAAATTGAAAAATTGTTGGATTGGCAGAACAGGATCTGTAATCCGTTCAATTGGCTTGGCCAGAAGGACAGTTTTAAAAAGAAGTTTTGCCTTCAGAAAACTTTGCTTAGGAATGTCACATTAGCAAAGAAGGATCAATCTTTTGAAAGGGACGCGTTGCAGAAGAGAGCGGATTGATTGTAGGTTTACAAGTAGTTAGGAATACTGACTTTAAATAGAAGTGACAACTACAGAGCTTGCCCTGCAGAAGTTTCGGTAAGAAACCTGAGCCCGTTCTCTCTACCCCAGACACACTTACAAGACGAGGGCATGCTCCATCTAAATGGCAATGCAATCTTCTGATGCCTGCTTCCTCTCATGTTTCTATCCAGCTCGAATGTGAATCAGCTGATAGTGTTGAACAGTATGTGCCAAGCCTTTTTGTGTAACTATTTTGTATTTGCATTTATTGTACAACTGGACCTCCTTAGAATGCTACGTTGAAATAATTGAGCCTTTTCTTATTTGTAAGTGCCTTTTGTCTTTCAATGTTTGTTTGCTTGTGTAGGTAGGTGTAGCTGTAGGTAGTTGTGCAGATTCCACTGTTAGATATTGTGTACTAATGTCTTTGCCATTACTTGCAGCTGTGTCTAAAAGCACCAATAGAGAATGAGACATTCTGTTCAGTGAAATAAGCATCATTCTGAACATAGGATTGTTCTTTCCACATATCCACCTTTTGGCATTTACAATTAGAGTGCATTAGTGCATCTTCCCCCACTCATTATGACTTAGATCTTACAAAATACACAGACACGGTGGTGACTATACTGTTGCTAAGAAACGAGGATAAATTTAGACCTATTCAACAGTACTCTCTGAACTATATTTTATAGATCAGCCAAATTGCACAGGATTACCAATAATTGCCTTACGTTTAAACCTGAATGGTGCTATCAGAGCTACATTTTATATTTCTTATGTGATTCTTGATTCCAAAGAATTAAAAAAATTATGTTATTTGATGAATTATCAAATAACACAGGAACAAGATTTATTCTTTGCGAAAGATCATTGACTCTTCAGTAATCATCTTGAAAAACCCCCCCTAACTGGGGTGAAAATTCTGATTTATGGCAGTATCTTCTGAAACAGTTTCTGCTTGCACTGGAATGCCATACACTGGTTAGAAAGAGGTTTAGCTTGGACATCATCAGCTATTTCCATTAACCCTTATAAATGTGGGCCAGATCTTTACAGTGAAAGTTGCCTATAATTCTCTCTAGCTTCTCTTCCACAGCTAGGAACTATGCAAACTCCCTGCTTGTCGGCCTCCCCACCCCCTCCCTCCTTAGGCTGTAGATCATCCAGAACTCTGCAGCCTGTGTCCTCTCCCGCACCAGGCTCTGTGAGCCTATCACCCCCATCCTTGCCCAACTCCATTGGCTTCCCATCACACAGAGGATACAGTTCCATATACTGGTCCTCACCTTCAAAGCCCTCCATGGCCTTGCTCCCCCCTACCACTGTGACCTCCTAACCCCCTACCATTCTGCTCACTCCTTCCACTCAGCGGACTCCGGCCTGCTTCACAGCCCCCGAATGGTCCACCCGACCATTGGTGGGCGAGCCTTCACCCACTCTGCCCCCACCCTCTGGAACTCCATCCCTCAATCGCTCCACCTTGCCCGCTCCCTTGCCTCCTTCAAGACCAATCTCAAGACCCTCCTCTTGACCAAACTGTCTATCACCTCTCCTTCCCCCCCTGCCCTACACCCTTCCTGATCCCGACGCCCAGCTCAGGTCCGAACTACTGATTATCCAGTGCCTTGGGACATCCTCCCGACATGAAAGGTGCTATACAAATGTAATTTTGTTGTTGTTATTGTTGCTCCATGGATGTGTGACCTCTCAACACTCCTTTAGTTGATTTTGCTGCAATATCAGATGTCTACAGAAGCTGGGAGATTGTTCGTTGCTCTCAGTTCTGTTGCCAACAACAACAACAAGATTCCATTTATAGAGCACCTTTCACGTCGGGAGGACGTCCCAAGGCTCTGTACAGTTGGGTCAAGATCCGAGCAGGGGGGAAATGGTCAGGGTGAGGGGAGGGAAGGGAGGGAGCGAGGAGGGGGTAGAGAGTTGAGAGGGGAGCTGAAGGCACGGTCAAAGAGAAAAGTTTTGAGACCGGCCTTGAAGGAGGAAAGGGAGGAGGCAAGGCGAAGGCACTGGGGGATGGAGTTCCAGAGCCTTGGGGCTGAGAGGCTGAAGGCCCAGCCACCGATGGTAGGGCGGTTGGGGCGGGGGATGTGGAGCAGACCGGAGCCAGAGGACCGGAGGGTACGGGCAAGTAAGTAGGGGGATAGTAGGTCAGAGAGGTAAGAGGGAGCAAGGCTGTGAATGGCCTTGCAGGTGAGGATGAGGATCTTGAATTCGATCCTCTGGGGGATGGGGAGCCATTTTTCCGTACAACAGTGCTGAAAGATTGGGATTTTGGCTGTGTTATTCTCCATTTTTATCTTTAAATCCTTCTTCGACCTCACTAGTGGTCACCTCCCCTTTCTTCCTTGCCCGGCATCCAAACCTGCAACTGTACAGCACTCCAAGTTGCTATCCTGTGTAAAGGATACTGTATAAATATAAGCTGTTGAATTATTCCTGTCTCCAAAAGGATAGTCTTTCATGTTTATATTTGTTTGGTCGTCTCTAAGCCTAAGTCAGCCCATTGACTAAAATAATCATTTTGCATCAACCTTTTTTATATTGGAGGAGGAGATGGGCAGTTAATAGCCGGCAACAGAGTATTAGAACTTCAGCAAAGAAAGCAGAGGACATTGACTTATTCTCAACTTATGCTCAGTGTGTCTTCTATACCTTCCAAAGGTTCTATATGGAAAAAAAATGCTTGGAGGAAACTTCCAGCATAAAATCTAGTGAAGTTTTTTTGAGAATAATTCAGAACATCACTCATCAGCCGAAGATTCTGCCTTACTCCCATCTTCTTAATATATAGAGTTGCTGCAGAAAGTAACTTGGCTACTTTTCAACTTAGAATCTTAAGTAAATAGAATCATTGGATGTTAAGCATGGAAACAGGCCATTCGATCCATTAGTGTTTTTCTTCACATGAACCTCTTAATCTAATCCTCTTCTCCTGCTTGCCCCCACCCCATGTACCCCCTTAAATATTTCTCTAGTCAAGCATCAATCTAATTCCCCTGTAAAGGATTTCATGGACTTTGCTTCAACCACAGTTTGTGCCAGAGTTTTCAAAGTCTACAGTTGAATGTGATGTAGCAATTATTAGATAGCATTAAAGGATTTAGAAGAGCATATTAAAGTGTCTTTAGAAACGGTGGAGCTTAATGAGATATCAATTGTGTAAAGAAGTTTAGTAGAATGTAACATTGTACTGTGTAACACAGGATTACTTTAGTAGAGATTAACAGCTTTTATCAATTCTGTAGGTGTACAGATGAGGCTGTGGAAGTAGCAAAACAATTAAACTACCTCTTCAGGAAGTTTCGTCAGCTGGGGGTCACTGAGGAAGAATACGTCTGCATGAAAGTGATCAACTTCCTGAGTCAAGGTACAGTACACTCCAATCCCAGTAGGGCAAAGGGTAGATAGTGTGGTTGAAATGATAAACAGTAGCCAAAATGCAAGAGTTACATCTGCAGGAATCAGCTGAGCTTCCCGAGGATATGTGTAGGTTTTTTTGGCTGTTCAGAGATGCTTATTTGCTCATGCCTGTGTAGTTCATGCATCCTGCTAGCCAGTGGCGCAGTAACTCTTACTGTATAGGTGGTCTCTGCTACAAACCTTTCCCTTTGAGAGATGAACGGAGACCTGATTTCTTAAATATGCATTGACAATACCTCAGTTGTGACTATAAATCTGAACAGCAGGAATAAGGATAAATCATAAAAGCTCACCATCACAATTATAACTCAAATGGGAATGTCTTGACATCTATACTGTTCATTATAGAAATACTTTCACGTGCAACAGATGTACTTTGACACCTGCCAGCCAAAGACTTCTGTTCTGAACAAGTCAATAGCAAAAGAGTTAAAACCATCCTTTCTTATCTGTGTGGACATGTGCAAGAATCCCCAATACTGCTGTGACTAACAGAACATAGAGCATCCAACTCGGGGGAGGTAAGTTAGCATTACCCACCATGTCCGGAAACTGACTTGCTTCTTTCCTTCTGAATATGGAGCTGTTTATGTGTTTGAGAGAAGGGATATTAAAGTTACATCATCAAACTTGAGCTTGTGTTCACGTCAGGGGGAGGGAGAAGGGAGAGTCACAGCAACATCTGTAGGACTGACCACTGACCTGACCTCCTTTTCCTCCCTCCCCCTCAACACACACACACACACTCCCACATGAATGAGAAAGGATATGAATAAAATGGAAATAAAAAAAAGGAAGTTGCCTTTAGGAAACAGATAAACCTGTGAAGATTGTTTGAAAAGCTTTTGCCAAAAATAGAATTGCTTGTACATATGGTGCAATTTTCTGAAATAAATTGAAATAGATTTCAGCAGTCAAATTTGTTTTAATGTCAGTCTGTTTTATTTACTGATTAACTCAAAATCGAGTAAAAGGGAATTGTACCTTATTTTAATATGACTTACCAATTTTGCTGCAATTTTAAAAGCAAAAGAAAAATCTCTCTTTTCTCCCTCCAACATCACAAGAGAAAATAGTTTATTTTCTTGTCAGGTGTTTGATATAAACATTTTTCCCCCCAAATCAACAATCAGCCCAGCAGTACCACCAAAGGAGTCAGATACTTGATCATTATAATAACAAATCCTTGTCTTTGACATAGCACCTTATCACATCTCAAAGCATTTCACAGAATATACAGTAAAGTGAATTGACTGTATATTTTGTGGGTGAAACACAGCAGCCAATTACACACAGCAGTGTCCCACAAACAGATTGAAGTGACCAATTTATTATTTTTTTGGAGGAATTATTACCCCCGGAAAAACAATCCGTCATTCGACTAACAACCAAGCTGCTAGATTACTGCTAGGTAAACAGAGGCGTGTGGAGTAAGGAAAGTTGCCTAATATTTTGCTCTGATGGGAATCAAACCCAGGTCTCTCGCTTGCAAGGTGAGTGCTGTAACCACTGAGCCACAGGGCTCCACAGATCATTCATATAATGTTACATTGGACCACCAGGGGTTAACTCTTTCCATCACTCTTTCCAACAGTGTCCTTAAAAATAACTCATTAAAATAACAACAAGAATTGAATTTTTCGCAAAGCACGTTTGGAAAATCGGTAACTATTTTACACCAGTTTTTTTCAGTACTTTGCAAGTTATAAAAAGCAAGTTTGTTTCAAGGGTCAGGTAACAATATTAGCAAATTAACAGCGAATTGCAGAAATTATAGCATAGAGAGAGGGCATCCAACCTATCAAGCCTCTTCTGGTACAACTCCTCACTGAAATTAGCCATACTGTTGCAATTCCCTGAACCCCACACCACCTGTATTCCTGTATATTGTGCCTCTTCAGACGTTTATCCAATTAATGAATAATAATAATCCTTGCATTTGACTTCGCGCTTTTCAGGTCAGGGGGATACCTGAAAGTGCTTCACAGGATACACTGTACAGTATATTTTGTTGGCAGATGTGGCAGACAATTTTGCACACAGCGATGTCATGTGAACAACAGTGAAGTGAATGACAATGTTTATTTTGGGATATTTTTGGTCATGACAACGCGAAAAACTTCCTTCTCTTTCTGATTTGTGCTGTGGGATCTTTAACATAAGAATAAACATACAATAACATACAAGTGCAATAAGGTGATGGGAAAATATAATGGAAGAAATTGTGAGGTATAGTTAGCCTTTGTGTTTCAAATCTGCTGAATCAATATTACTGCCAATCTGGTAAAGATATTGTTGCAACAATTGTTTTCATTGACCAGCCCCAGGGGGATATTGGGTGCTCAATGGATGCAGTGCAGACAATAGAATGAGTAATGCATAAAAACATAAAGGAAGTGTAGTGTTAACAACTCTGAATAGTGTAGTCTTTTTTAAACTGCTAATGACAGTGGCAATAGGGCAAGCTGCAGGAAGACACTATATACTATGTTAACTATACAAAGCAAGAATGTACATAATAACATTTTGTTAAAAAGGTAAGCCGTTAGAAATTTAAAGCACTTGCACATTTTTGATTTCATTCTGCAGAAGAAATTGCAGATCTATGTGTTTCATTGACAAAATGTTTCGACTTTGAAAATGGGGTAGTCACACAGCATTCTAATGCATAAAAATGTCGCATGTCATTTGAGAGCTTTAGTAATCCCAGTTGATTGATATCTGTGGGACTTGTGTTCATAGTATATACAGCAGAGTGCAAGTCTACAGAATGGTACTTTGAAAAAAATGAAATTGCTAATTTGGACCAATTGCCCTTCTGTTACACATCACGTTATGTTGCTCATCCATGTGATGTTTTACATCAATTTCAGTATTCCAACAGCTCGCGAGTGAATGCAGCAAATGAGCAATGCTGACCAGTTCGGATTGCACATAATAATTTGGAACTGATTCAGTTCTATTTTGGGTCAGCTAATCTGGAGATCAATACTGCCAGCCAGAAGAGAATCAGAAATGCATCTTTTTCATCCACAGTAATTGATTTGAAACCAATGTAATTTACCAGCACAGAAGAAGGCCATTAGGTCCATCATGTCTGTGCTGGCTCTTTTAAAGAGCAATCCTTTCAGTCATATTTACCTGCCTTTTCCCCATAATGTTCATATTAGCATGTGATATAAAAATTCCAGTCAGTGATATCTCCTGTTACTTGGTCTAATTCATTTCCACATGTGAATACTGTAGTGTTGTTTTCTTTACATGACTTGAGTACAGCCACATGTTTCCTCTCATCATGCAGTATGCGCAGGAACAATAGGCAATGTGTTTCACAGTCAACAGGTGTCTTGGGAGTGGGAAAGTAGCCTCTGGAAAAGACAGAAGAGCACTGGCAGATATTAAACTTGAATACAAAGCAAATGATTGAAATAATAATTGCATTTTATGGTGAGTGTAAAAGGTAATGTCACTCGACAGGAGAATGATAAATTCAGAGGCATTGTCACTTGGAGTTAGTGTTCCCTTTATAAATGTAATGCCAAGCAGCAGAACGAAGCACACAACACCCTATGGGATAAATAAAGTTGCAGTCTCTTAATATAATCATTAATTAAGCATGTTATTGTGTTTATGCCAAATCAGATAGTTTAATACTAAAATTGCTCTACACCCCTGCAGCTTGGTAACATTTAGTGTCCTCAACGTTGTGCTTTTTTTCGCAACTTTTCATAGGATCATGGTGATTAGGAGAAAGCATTCTCCAACAATCTTCAGATAAAATTGGTCATTGACTTCACGGCTATTTGTGATACATTGCTGTTGTACAAATTGGCTGCAATTTTGCCTCCAAATACACAGTCACTACAACATTCCACAGTAAATTCAATGAAATGCTTTGAGATGTTTTGAAATGGTGAGGAGCTACAGCAAATGCAAGGATTATTATTATTATAACATTAAAAAGGTTTACTACAGTATTAACGCTTTTTTTTCAAAAAAAGCACCAGTCTTGCTTTCCGTGCACACATAACAACAACCAGACTGTGAGATTGGTCTCAATTGACCTGACAGTTAATAACATCATTATCTTTATACTGTTGGCTCAAACTGCAATAAGTTGGCACTGAATGACAGTAACTCAGCCAGGCTGTGGTAGGTTGTGCGGAAAATCAGAACAATTTGACCGGGCTGCTTTAGATTAAATAAAAGATAAATTAAAGGTGAACCTCAGCCAATTTATCTCAGAAGTCCTTCATGGTACAATAAAGAGCTGCAGTTACAAGGCCACATTACATGACAGTAATTCAGTGTATTTTACATAACCAATCTATTTATCTACCCACCTAATAGTTTCACAATTTATTCTGATAGCACAGATTATTTAATACTGAAGTCCTGGCTTGTCTAATCATATAAGAAGGAGCATTATTATGAAATATCACGAATTAGACCCCATAGTGATTCAAATCTACCAGATAAACAGCAGATGTGCTGTGTAATGGAATGAATGAGATGAATGTACTCTTATTGCTATACTGACTCCATCTCAAGACCTTCCTCTTCGACCGCATCTTTGGTTATGTTCCCACCACACCCCCTTGCCCTCCACCTCTCTCGACTCCAGCCCAACGTGAAAGGAACTATATTAATGTGATTTGTTATTGTTGTTGACAGAACTGTTGCCTTTAATATTGATCTCACAGGAGTACCTTTGTTAGTGATCCTTTGCTATAGGACTAATACAGGTTTTACTTTATAATCTAATTGAATGTTAGCAACAAAATTAATTGGAGGCTTACTCCATATGAATGCTTTAATCATTGTATAACTGTAATGAGGACATTTAGTTGTTATTTTGAAATAAGTAGCATGGTCAAGAGGCCAACTAGTAATATACAATAATAATTTGGTCACTCAATCCACAACTGTTTTTGGGACACTACCCACAAAATACACAGTCAATTCACTTTATAGTATATTCTGTGAAGCCCTTTGAGACGTCTAGAAGACCTGATAAGGCGCTATATCAAATTCAAGAATTATTTATATATTTATAATTTGTGTATGCCTAAATAATTGCCATTCATTGTATTGGCACAGCATGCAGAAGCATCAGTTATAGTGCCTTTCAATGGCGTGTTTTAAGGCAATATGTACTGTGCTGCTAAGGCTTAATGCAGGCTTGAAAATTCACTATTGATGTGCCCAATTCCTCTGATAAGCACATAGAACATCCTGTTAAAGATGAGCGCACAGTCACGATATTTAATATGAATTACTCTACTTGGTTACAAATTCGCTATTCAGCCACATTAGACTAAAGACTCTAAAGTTTTGCCTCATATCTGATGATGTAGCCAAGGGAGGACATGAATTGTAAAAGAAACAGGAGCATAATTTACATAATTCTGTCAGTTAATTAATGTAGGGCCTTTTTTAATGTTTACAATATGTAAACAGCAGGTAGATTCAATAGAATAAGAGCTTAATTCAGTCACTTCTATTTTTAATGTTAATTTTGTCATTTGAAATGAATATTATGATTAATCAGATAAAGGACCAGTGCATGCAAAGAGGGCGTAAATAACTCACAGGAAGAGCAGATCAAAGGCTCTCTGCACCCTGTTTTGTTTTTACGCTCACAAGCTGCATTGAAACAAGCAAACTCTTTCAAGATTGAAGTCTGAAGGAAATGCCAATAAGAAACATCCCATCCTGAGTGAGCTCTCACAGCTATGAAGGATTTCCACATGTTATAAAATCTAACTATTGTCGTAACTCACCACAAGAAAAAATATCAACGCCCCATCGACACCTATCTGTCACTTACAAGCTTCATATATCTATGCTATTGCTAACGTTCATTCATAACCAGTGCAAAAAAAAATGTCAGCTGTACTGGAAACCAAATTCAATTATATTTAATTCTATTCATTCTCTTTTTTTTACCTCTCCTCTTTTGTGGAGGCGGTGACTCATGCCAGGGTACAGCAGACCTGCAGTTATTTCACTCATACGATTAAAGTATACGCAGACTGCTTGGCCAATGAAGTGTATCGTAGCTAAGCCCAATCTTGTTTATCCCAATCCTTGCACGTGCACTCCCAACAGGGCTTACTGAATGATGATCAGGAGTGGGATCTCTAGCTGAGTAGACCCGTCCCCCACTACCCCCCTTAGCCTGGGGTGCATTATGACCAATTACACAATCTCCAGTGTCACCATAATTAACACCAGGTAACTCAACACAGACTAGCAATCAAACCTGGGATCTTCTTCATCTCTTTGGCTCAGTTGAATAGCCTTTCTGCCACCACTTTCTGGAACTCCATCCTGAAGTCCTTCTGCCTCGCCTGCTCCCACCCTCCCCACTCAGTTTTAAAGCCTTTGTCAAGTCCCTCCTTTCAACCATACTTTTGATTATTCCCCCCCAACCACACACACACACCTCAGCTCTCCCTTCCTATCAGCTGTGAGAGGTACTTTGATGTTTTGAGATGTCCTCCCACCTAAAAGATGCTATAAAAAGTAGAATAGATGCTAACCAGGAATCCATTGGAGGATCTCTCAGATTCCTCCATGTTAACAACCTTTTTGTTTCACAAAACTAGATATACTTAGTTCTTTACACAGTAATTGACGTTCACAGATATCTCTATGTTGCTTCTGATTTGATTTCAAAGCCATCACTTTCACTGAAGAACATCGGCCTTTGAGATTCAGATTTTTGTTTTTAATAAAACATTTTAAAGGATATGCTTATTGCTGGCAATGAATTTTGTTGTGACAACAACTGATTTTGTTTTAAAATAGCTTTGCGTCTTTTGTTTTATCCTGCAAGGCAACATTTCTATGTTGATACTGGCACCGACACAAATGCAAATTCTATTGCTTTTCATCACAAAGTCCAAAGCTCCAGAGCAGTCACAGCAAAAGGTTGAATAGATACATTCCCCAACTCCAATTTCTCCATCTTCCTTATTAAATAATCCTTGCATTTAATATTACGCTTTTCATGTCAGGAGGATGTCTCAAAGTGCTTCTCAGGATATGTTGTAAAGTGCAGTGACTGTCTATTTTGTAGGCAAATGACTTAGCCAGTAAAAAGGCATGGTTATCCAAGCTGTTTGGGATTGTCTCCTCTTGCCATCTGCTATTGCATTCCCAAATTGTCTCTGTACACAATCCCTCAAACTATTATTGTCTGTGAATCACAGACATTGCACATATGTGTCTAAGCTCAAGGTAGTTCACAACAGTATTAAGCAGTTTGTATCCATGAGGAGTACTTCACATGAGACATTTAAGAACCTGCTTATTGATTATTGTCAAAGGTTCTTCAGTAGGTCTCCACACATCTATTATAATTGCAGCGATTTTCTGCCAGACATGCAAACTAAATGCAGCACTGAAGTGGGAGCCAGTTTCTGTCCAGGAACATGCCACGACCTTTTGTGATGCCATGTTGCTTAGAAGTTAAAAAGCTTATAATAATACTGTAATAATAAAATCATAACCCTTGCATTTGATATAGTACCATTATGCCATCACATGTCAAAGTGCTCCACAAAGAATTCTGTTAAGTGTAGTGACTGTGTGTTTGATAGGCCAACTTGGCTGCCAGCTTGCGCCAACCAAGTGAACAACCTTCAGGCAATTGATCAATATCATC